TGGACTCTTTGCAAGGGGCAGGGGACCCGCTAAGGGAAGCATCTGAGCCTCAGTTGGACATTTTCCTCCTCAAGCTGAGTGTCAGACAGGGATAACAGCACATCACAGGCTCAGTGTCTGTCCCAGCCCTGGCTGCACAAACCCCTCCTGTTCCCCAAAACCACACACACAGTGCACATACACAGCTGTTCTCCCTGGGATTTTTTCTTCAGAGATTAGGCTCTGCAGGCCTGGCATGTAATTAATCAATTAAAAATAAACAACACACAAACAACACACTGAAGAATTCAATTCTCTTACCAGCCTGAAGCCAAACACAGCAGCTGCCCTCTGGCCAAAGCTGTCCTTGGGCAACAGCAGCCCCAGGATTCTGCAGGACCGTTTCCTCCTAAACACAAGTTGCAATGAACACTGTCAGCAAAAGTACTTTAAAGTCAATTTTCTTTTCCTCACCTTTCCTGAGAAAAAAACCCCAGCACTGGATCGCAGAGCAAGAATTAGACAGAAATTCTCCATTCAAAGGCAAACAACTTTTGTGTCACAAACTTAGCAGAGGAGAAACCTGTCCCTCAAGACACAGAGGAGCATGTTTGCCAGGGGGCTGTCTCATTCACAGACAAGAAGCTTTGGGAGGTGGATGCTGTTTAAATCCTTGCTTAGGGAAGCTCTGAGACGTTGGTGGTTTGGACCCTTTTAAGCTGTTTCAACCTGACATTCTCCTCATCTTCCAGAAACTTCCCAGCCCAACTTGTTCCCTGCACACAAAAATAACCCATCCATCCATGGTGTAATTGGTCCATGGGTTTATCTCAAGAAATGCAATAATCAGACCTAGGACAGCCACTTCCCCCCAGGTGAAAGCTTCCTCAGGGTGTGTCCTTCACAGGGTGACCCTTTGGGGCAGGTGAGCTGCACCCCCCCAGCCCCAGCAACCTGATGCAAGTTTGAAACTGTCCCAGAGCACCTCCAGGCAGGCAAACAGAGCAATTATTCTGTCACTAGGTCTATTTTTGTGACAGATACAGTTATGAGATGAGCTGTGTCAAGTGTCTCCATAATGGCCTGTCATCCAATCCCTCCTACTTCTCATCCTTCTGCTGGGCACCAACACCAGTAAAATTCCCATTCAATCCATGCTGCTTTTCAGCTTGTGCTCTGTGCCAGCAAAGGGCAGCACACTCAGGTGGCAGCTGCTACAAAGCTACAGCCTTTATTGGCTTAATTACATTCATCAAGCCGTTGGGCTTTTATATTCCCTTCCAGGAGCCCCAGGAATTCAGAAGGGTATAATTTGAGACAGCAGAGCGAGTCTTTCTTTCATAGCCCCCCTAGAGGAGAAAAAGAAAACCAGACTATGCCAAGACAGATGCTGCTGTTTCTCACCATTGTGAAGGTGCACGGTGGGTAAATCAGCTCCCCAGCCAAGGCAGTGTTTCTACCTCTTCTTGACACGGTGTCATGCTCTGAAACTGAGAAAGGGGACAGAGTTAGTTCAGGTACCAAATCACTCCTTTACCTTTGTGTCGCTCACACTGAGCCTCAGAGTTTACATTTCCACAGAGGAAAGATCAAATTCAGACAGGGATAACTTTTATAATCATCACTAGCTCAGCTTCCAGAACAGCTAAAGAGTAGAGGGCCATCCCAAATCGCAGATCTGCTCTTGCCCTCGCGGCTGTCCACGCTCCCCAGCCGGGTAGCACAGATGCCTGCGGGTACACGCGGCTCCCCGGCCCGCTGAACCCGCCTCGGGGTGCCGGGAGACAGCCCCGGCTGAGCCGCACCCGCTGCTCATAAAACGCTGAGCATGGCTCGGCCAGCCCGCGGTTCCTGGCGCAGCCCCGTCACGGCAGGGCCGGAGCCCCCCTGGCCTTGCTCTCTGCGTCCACCATGGCGGGGAGAGGGGCCACTATCCCGCCCTCCCATGCAGCCCTCGAGCCCTCGCCGCAACCCTACGGGCGGTTCCGACAGCGTGCGGGAGTTGCCCGCACACCATCCGGCCGTCCCCCCGCCCCTCGAGGCTACCGTGCCCGCGGATGGCGGCCGATGGCGGCTGGGCCCACTCACCACACGCAGCTTCGCTGCCATGTTGGCTCAGGGATCGCGGTGAAAGGAGCGGCCGCAAGGTCTCATGGGAGATGTAGTCCTGGGCCGTGAGGGCGCATGGGAACTGTAGTCCGGCCCCTGAGGAGCGCGGGGTCTGACGGGAAGTGTAGTCCCGTCCCTCAGGAGTAAAGCGCGCTCCTGCTCCCCCTCAACCCACTCCTTAATGGGATTTACTAATTATTTATTAATTCTTCATGTATCCTGTTCAGTAGGGACACACGTATAATTGTTTTTAGTCGGCCAAACGCTTCAAAAGGCTGAACATGCATCAGCTCATGGAGGAAGCGGCTAATTAGCTGGAAATCAGGGATTAGTCAGAGATTAGTTAGTAAATGTACGTACCACACTTTGAATCTGCAATGATTCCAGGATGTACTTTAATTGTCCTTTGCTGTTCAAACCTGATGTGAAATCCACAGGATCCTATTTAGCTTATATATGAAACTATAAATGAAATCATAACATATATATGAAACTATGGGTGATTGTATTTAGCTCCTATATGAAGTCCGTGTGAACATGAACAAAGTAGATTGTATTTAGCTCCTATATGAAGTCTGTGTGAACATGAACAAAGTACAAACAGAACTGAGGAGAAGAAACATAAGAACTGCGAACATCTACATTCTGCCCCAAAGGTTTATCCATCCTTGTGATAAAGAGCTGGAGTGAATGGGAATGGAGAGACAACAAACCAGAATCTGAAAACAGCAAAGTCTGAGCACAGATGCCAACCCCAGTGCCACCCCTGAAAAGTCTGAGAAGTGCAGGATTCCTGATCCCTGGGGGGTTTGGATCAGAGGTGTGCTCACCCAAATTCCCACATTGCCCTCCTGAATGGCCTATGGTGTGTTTTAAAGTTTCTTCAAAAAGTCAACTATGATAAATCAAAGATGACTCCGACGAAGGGGAGAGAATGATACATCTGATTCTATTGATATCAGAAAGCAAGTTAATTACTTTATTATACTATGCTATATATATTTCATCTAAACTAAATCTGCCAAGCATGCACTCCGCACACATCTGCTCACGCTGCACTGAGTCTTGTGATTCTCACCCAACAATACACACACACACACACACTCCTGGCCCTGACAGGCCAAGGAAACAAAACATCCTCACTTTGGATAAACAATCTCCATATTGCATTCTGCTTTGGCACAACTCAGGCACAGCAAGTGATAAGAATTGTGTTTTTCCCTTTCTCTGAGGTTCAGAGAATGGGAATCTCAGAAATCCTTGAGAAGAATTGTGCTTTGCTTTTATCTGTGAAGAGAAATGTGGTAACAGTCAACAGGTTGCAGGAGGCTTTAAAAAAATTGCAAGAAGACTGTAGGGAGATACCAACATGCTGTTATAAATAAATAAGCTGCTCCCAGCACCAGCAGCTGGCTGTGGTGTTCCCCAAAAAATGAAACCCCAAATTCTGTCCTGGCTGGGAAGAGCAGCCTGCAGAGAGTCCTGGGCTCTGACATGAGCACACAGGAGTCTCCCTGCCCCACAGGAGCTGTGGATTGAGTGTTTGGCCTGGCAGGAAGGCAGATGATGGTAGAGATCAGCAATAATTAACACAGCCTTCGTTGAAGCAGCCTTTACTCCATGAAGATTTGGCTGGCAACCTGCCTGGCTGCCTTCAGCTTCCTAAAAAAGCAAATATAACCCATCTAATTCAATGAGAATTAGCCCTTCAAGGCCCCAAGGGAGGCAAGTTTTAAAAAATAAAACTAAAATCCCCCTTAAGAAGAGTTCAGATCCCAGAAGGAGAGAAGATGTAACGTGGATGTGCTGAGGGATTTGCCATTATCTTGATTTTTTGGTGGAAGCTGCTCAGCCCACAGAGCCCGTGTGTGCCTATAAAAGGATAAGCTCTGCCAGGTACCAAATAATGAATGGACTCAACAATTAAAACTCGGGAGAACAGCATGAGCTAAGTGAGCAGTGGATTGGATGTAATAATTCATGTTTGCAGTGCACAGATAATGTTTCCAAGGATATCTTGGAGTCAGAACAAAGACTCTGGGTGAAGAGGGATAGCCCTTGCCTCGCCCATGCCCACGCTTTCCTAATTCTCTGCAGCTTTGCCTGGGTGGGAATTAATGGAATTTTCTCAGCACTTCCCTTTAGAGGGCGACCGTGACCCACAGATCTCCAGCCCGGAGCCTTTGCCCGGAGCTGGAGGGTAAGGCAGAGCCTTCCCGAGGTCACCAGCATGTGGTGGCTTCTCTGAGGCTCTGAGAACCTTCCGAGATGTGGAGGAAGTTACAGCCTGGTCTGAGGGTTGTGTTTGAACACACTGTCCTTCCTCAGGCAGCTGCAGGGCTGCCCCCCAGGGCAGCTTGGACATAATTAGGATGGATTTCCTTTCCAATCTCCATCAGTTATGGTATTTTCTTGCTCCAGTCTCTGAAAGGCTGAACAAGTAAGGAAAGCTATGAAAAGGGCATGTAGATCTACACAGGAACTTTTTGGGGCTGCTCTCAATTTCCCTGCAGAGGATTTGGAGGGGATTGCTTCCTCCCATAAATCATATGAGAGATCAGTATCTGACAGAGGAGGGAAGGATGGAAAAACAAATGGAAATCAATGACAGAGCCACTCCATCTTTGGCTGGGCTTTGATCCCATGCTCAGATTGAAGGACAAGGTCATCTCTCAGTTTTCCACCCATTTCTTCTCTTAACTGCCTGTAAATCCCTCGAGGGAGAAGCTCTCCATGCTTATTGACAGTAATTTGATTTCCTCCTGATTTCCCCTGCCCTGGTCCCACCCTGCAGACAGGGCTCCACAAAGCCTGGAGAAACAAAACATCTGGGGCTTCAGAGATGCTTTGCTGTGGTTATCTTTTTATCTTTGACATATGGCCAGGGTGTTTGAACCCATTAAAGGCAGACCCCAGCCCCCTGCCAGGCTGCAGTGCACAGAGCACGAGGAGATGCTGAGTGCAGGGATTGATGCTTGTTTCTGTCAGAAATGCTGGATGCCCAACAGAAAAACAGTCCCTTTGGGTAAGGCTGGAGATTGCTTGCTGGTATTTCAGGTGCCAGATTTCCAAGAGAAAAGATCTATACTATTTAAAAAGGAAAAAAAAAAATCTGCCACAAGGTCCTAAATCCTGGTGTCAGTTGCTTCAAATCAGCCCCCTGAAAAGGCAGAAAGGCTCTTTGGAGCTCAGCAGCAGACAAGCAATGTCTTCCCACACAGGACAAGGCACACTGCAAACAAAACATCCTTCCCTGCTCCTGGCAGCAAAGCTCTTAAGCCTTCATTTAATATTAAATACACGTTTAAACCTAAGCCCATTTCTCAGCATGTCTCGTGTGCTTATGTAGAACTTCAGCAGGCTCAGGAAGGCTCTGCTGTAACTGGAGGCCTGTGCACTGAATAACAAGAGCTTTATGCTTCCAGAATGTCTGTGCAAACAAGGGATGGCTTCTCTGGGATGGATTCTGCAGGTTGAGAAGAGAAAATGTCCCCCTTTCTACTGATGGTGCAGAAGAAATTGCAGCTCTGGCCACTCAGCTGTTCCTCCTGCTTCTCCCCCTATTTCTCACCTGAGTTTTGGGCACAGTGCAACAAAGCCAATCTCAAGGTACTGTTTTTTGAGTGCAACACAGAATGGATCTTGAGGAGATTGTGTCAGTGGGGTGGAGTCAAGCTGATCAACACTTTTGATCCTTCAGGTCTGTGTCCCAGGCAGGCAAAGTGGGAGCCAGCCAGATTCTGTTCCCAGCTCCTTGGAGGAGCAACCAGAGCAGAGAACACACACAAAATGTTCCAATGGCAGTGCGTGCACAGATAAATCCTGGGGCCAGACTGATGCATTTGTTGAACAGCAGCAGCAGGAATCCAGCTTCTTCATGGATGAGCATCTTTAATTGAAATATACACCCTCTGAGCATACCCAGAGATGTGTACAGCTACACAAATGCTCCCAAAGGTAGCAGGAAAACTTTAACATTGTAAAGCTACTGCGGCCAGGAGAGAGATTTCCTTTTAGGCCAATTTAGATGAGCAAGGAAAGGAGAGTTGTCCTTGCTTTGGGCAAAGAGATGGATCCTCTCTCTATTTTCTGTGTCAGCCTGAGCAATTACTGCTTGGTAAGCAGAAAGGGAGTGAGTTGGTATAAAAATACCCAGGTAATATTAATGGGAAACTTATCAGGCCCTCTCCTCTTTTATCAGTGTTTCTGTTTGCTTGGATTACTTGGCCATTGGTTCAGCGCTCCCCATCTGCACTGTGCTGTAAGCAATATTTCATCTATCAGGCTCAGATACCAGAAATATGCTGGGCACACACGGAGCAGACAACATTTTCTTGCAGGTAATTAGCATAAGCTGCACTGAGGTCAAGCAGTTGTGTCAGAGCACAATGCAAATCAACATTTCTTCCTGCTGCAGATGGAAAATGGAGAATTGCAAATGCCATATCTCCAGCTCACCTCTTGCTTCCCACCATTTATTCCAGAGGAAGGAGATAATTGTCTTGAGGTACTTTTGAGAATAGCATCTCTGCTGCTTTCATTGCTTAATGGGAAAAAACATGTTTAAATGATGAAAGGTCACATTATTTCAGACCTTTTGGTTAATTTTTCTTGCCCTTGTGCAGGGAAAGCAGGCCAAATGCCTAATTTGACCAAGTCTGAAGGTAAGCTGAGGATTTTCAAGATGACAGAGGACAGCTGGTTAAAGGACAGTGGTTATTCCTCCTGCTGCCTGTAAAAAGGTTTCTTGAGAATAGTTTCCCTTTGACATCTGCTTGAAGGAGCCCTGCTGCAGGGCATCTGACCAAGGGCCAACCAGACTCATGTCATTTTCCCAAGAAATGTCCAAAATGAATGCCTAGGGAATGCAGCAGCAGTGATTTCTCACAGTACATCTCCCAGCACCTCTGCAGCCACCAGCCACTTGAGGGGTGCAGATTCTGAGAGCTGGAGGTCAGCTCACTGCCCCTGCTGAAGAGTCTGCTCTGGAACAGAGATTTCACTAACTTTGATCAGTGAATCTGTAGCAACCATTCCCTCCTGTGGGGAGGAGAGG